GGAGTGGTTGAGGTGCAAGCACTATATGCAGAGAGTGCGAATGGATACGGATAACCTCCAGCAGAGACTCATGGTGCACAGCCAGGTGTGTGTTACGTTGCCTTAGCTAGGTTTGTCACAGGACATCTTTCAGAGCCTTCGCTTTGGGTGCTATTTTCAAGTGTTTATTTTTTATCAAACTAACACCACGATTAAACTTAACACAGATTTATTCTAAACAAGGGGTTTTTGAAAACTTCATAATTTTGGAGCTTTTTGGAGTCCGCTGGCAGAGAGAGAGAGATTGTCGTTCTTCCCCTTTCCCTATTTATTGTAGCCTTTTAATGGAAGGCACGTACTTGGCTTCCTGTAGGCAGCCAGCTTGCCTGGCCAGAGTTCAGGGGTATGGAGTCATTGCTCCATCTGTTCCTTGCCACCTCTGGGCGACTATCTCCTCAAAGGAGAAAGGAAATGTTAGAGCAGAGGAGGGGAGCGTGGAGAAGAGGGAACATGTATTCTGCTGGCCCTCTGCAGGGTAGGTTCTGAGGCAAAGGCCAACCACCGTCTACCACACAGTCAAAGACAGAAAAGTAATTCTTGTGACTATTTTGGAAATTGTCATCAGTTTGGCTCACTATGTGGTGTGCTAGGGTTATTCTGGGGGTGGGGGAACAGTAAAAATCCTGAGAAGACCCGAGTAGTTAACCTCTAAGTAACAGAGTAAGCTCTTCCATGCATTTGAGATTATCCTCTACTAATCGGTTCAAGTCCTCATCATGCTGTGTGGTATTATGATGTATAAAATCACTTGCATTTTATAGCCTTTTATATTCTCCAGAAGGGGCAGTTAATAGATGCATAGCTGTAATTTTTTCCAATGCAAAGCTCATGAACAATGCTGTAAATCTGCATATGTAGACAGTATACCAAAGTAAATCGTCTAGGGAAAAAATTTATAGTGTTTCAGGAGCATTTCAGCAGCAGAGTGACTCCCAAGAAAAAAGCCTAGTGAAGCTACTTAGGGATCTAAGCTTCAGGCTTGACTATCAGTGTTGCTTAGTTAGAGCACTAAAAGCACTCTTAGAGCTTCTTAGGTTAAGAGAGTAAAAACATAATTACTCTATATGAATACTGTCTCTTTCAATGTAGCTGTTCCCAGCAAAAAGAAGGAGCCTTTAACTACTAGTGTGACGAGACGAGAGGCAGAACTCCTTCTCAAGACACAGCACTCACACCTGGGCTTTCTGATCCCAGCAGCTACCCCAGAGAAAGGAAGTTTTGGTTAGATTTTGCTGTTACAAGCTCTTCTCAGAGCATGGTATTGCACAGCCAGGCCTGCCTCACAAAGCTTGGTCAATGTAGAGGATGTAGAGAAAGGGTGGAAGTTGCAGTGGCTGGCACAAAGACGAGAAAGCGTGCTTTCCCACAGCGTCTCAGATCCGCAAGCACTACGTAGGCCCTCTGTCTCCCATGATTTTCAACCCTTTTAATAGCACACAGAGAAACCACCACTTTCCAAGGGGAGGCTGCATCCACAGATTCAGGCAAGCAGCTCTGCTCTTCATCTTTTTTAATTGGATAATTGGAGCTTATTTGCACAAGATTAGATACCATTTTCCATAAGCTTACTCTGGTTCCTTTGGCCAAAATTTCCATCCCCACACCATTGTCCAATATTTAGACAAGCTGCTTACTTCCTTCCCCACAAGAAGAAGATGCATTTCAGCTCTGTGGGAAGTTTCAGGAGTCAAACTCACCCCTTTCTCCTAGAAGAATGTTTGAAATACCAGCAAGTTTCACACAATAGCCGCTTATTTACACCACTTACCAGGACACCAAACTTCTTCATTTCCAGTCTTAGAGCATCACAAAATTTTTCAATAGCTGCCTTGGTCATAGAATAAATGCCATTTCCCAGAGTAAAATAGGCAATAATGCTGGACATGAAAACAATGCGTCCTGGAAAGAAAACAGTGCCAAGAACATAACTTTTCACTCTCGGTGCTTACTCTCACATAGAGTTGATTTATCTGAGTCTTCTGAACTGCTAATAATGTGTCAGCTAGCATGATGCCATTTTACTGTGTAACGTGCCAAAGCTGAGCTGTGTAAGTGTAAAGTTGCAGCATAATAGTGCACTCAGCTCGGTAAGGCAGGGAGAACAGAACTGCTTGCAAAAAGCTTCCTTCCTTCTATTGACAGAGGCTGGACAAGAAAAAGTGTAACCCGTTCTCAGCTTCCTTCTTACTCCTTCTGAGGCAATCCACTCAGGTGACAGAGGATGAAAGAGATAAAAACAAACAGTCCCCTAAAACCTTTGGATTGAAAAATAACACTAGACTATGCTAGTAATAGTAGATGAGAAGGCAAGGGAGAGAAGCATGAGATGATTTTCCTTGTGACAGGTATATGACTACTAATACCATTTTTTCTGCCATAATGATGTCTCTGCACTGAGTTCTTGCTTACAACTGTGCATATAAAGTCAAAAACCATCATTACAGTTAAAAGCCTCACCAGAGAAAGGTGACTTGACAAAAGGGGGGCAGCCTTACTCTGTCTTGCTGTGATTTCCCTCATCTTTGCTGCTATTTTTCTTTTATAACTTTTGCCAAGGGCATGCGTGCACTGAATATGGGCGATTTCTGATGTGAGACACTGGACTCTGGTCCGTATCTGTTGTTTACTTGTAACCTTCCATCAAATAATCATACCATAGAATGAGAAATGTGTGAATGTGGCTCTGTAAACAGTAGAGGTAAGAGAGAAGAAGCCTCGTAACTAACAATTCCGAGAATGTGGTTCCATTGCTATTGCCTAACCCCAAATCTGTCCAAATGGTATAAGCTTTTGGGATATCAAAAGGGTATCTTGGCAATGCAGTGAAATCCATCATTCTGAATTAGGTTGCCTGACTTCTTATACAGTGTATGGGAAAAGTCAGATACATAAAAATGGGAATGCAACTACCAGCTTGCTGATCAAGTTGCTACCTCAGCTGGCCAGCCCTAGGAGTTATGGGGAAATGTTACTGTCCTCAGGGAGCTGGATGCTTAACTCTAGGCTGGAGGGAAATACTGCCCTTTACACTGCCCTTTAATAATCTTGAAGCTTTTACTGGAACAGGTGCTCATCTTAAAATGGTAGTAAGACCTTTCCTTCAGAACACAGCTACTGGATAAGTGATGGTAGGACCACCTCTTCCTCCTTTATCCAGTAGCTAACTGATTTAGGACATTCAACCAGGATATGGGACACACAATTTAATTTCTCTCTTGGCCTAAGGTATTGAAACCCAGCTTTCCCAGGAGAATGCTCAACATCCACAATTCTAGCTTTTCGTTTGAAGAGGTCTCTTGCCTCAGAAGCATGGGCTTTAGCTATCCTGGCTGTTCCTGCAGGGACAACGTGAAGGACGCAAGACAACCTAGAATTCTTCCTAGAAGGGCCTGGCCTCCTCTCCCACAAAGATAGGCGGGATTTGAAGATGGAGTTTGGGCTGCTAAAAAAGGCAGTATGGACAGCCAGTGCTGCATCTCAGGACTGAGATGCAGAGTGCTCCTTCAAGGTAAGAAACTATGTAGATGAAGCCATTCAGACCCACATCTTCCAAGGGTTTACACGTGTGCTTAACATCATACACATAAGCAGTCCCTTTGGCTTCAAAGTAACCCCTTGTAATTCGTAAATTGAGACAGATGCCTCTGGTGGATCAGCATCATAGAGTTTTAGCAGCAGGTAAATCATCATAGAAGAAAAGTGATGTCTCCCATGTAATAGCCATACATCACATCTGTTGTTTTTCACCGAGTATATACAATAGTATGTTCTTTCAGAGAAACGCATCGATCTGGCAGTATTTGAAAAGTTTCTTTTTTCCTTGCATCAAAAAATCAGTTGAAGGCAACCAAGCAGATAGCCAAAAAGGGGATGCTTTTATCTTACCAACACTTTGTGTAACAGTGACATCTGGGGATTCCACATGAAACCTAGCTCTTACCGTGCTTGATGCTGTATACACAACATTAGAACAAATACTTGCCTTAAAGAGCTTAGCACCTAAATAGACAAGTTAAGCAAAGGGGGGAGAAAGGAAAATGTTGTCTTTTTTTTCCCAAATCTAGATGGACAAAGGTAAGGAAAAAACTGCAGAGCAATTAAGAGACATTGCAATGCTGGAGAGAACTACCTGAACCATTTGTTCTCATCAGGATAAAGCCCATGCTATGGCGCTCCATGCAAATGCATTTATTCTGTTTGATACCCATGCAGCTCTGTATGACACTTTTACATACTTGAAGTTGCCTGCCCAAGGTCATGGGATCTTTCTAGATCTGCAACTGGAAGCTGGATGTCTCTAATTTCCCTCTTCAGGATCATCCTTCCCCTCCCAATTCCTGAACAGTAAAATAGTAAAGCCTAAGTAACGAAGTTAAGCCAGGAGTTTATTGGATCTTTGTGTTTCCTGGTTGTCAGGGCTTACAGTCTTGTCTGGCGTTAATAACCTGCTGTATTTTTCATCTCTTTTTCAAATCAAAAACGGAGATAATTCATTGTTTCTAAATACAATACCTTTGGGAGGGGAAAAATAAGGACAGATTTTTTTTTTTTTTTTTTTTCCCTTATGAGTTTGCTGTTTTTTCAGGATCGAGTTGCTCTTTCAGGGCACACAGCAGGAAGCTGTCATTTCAGCTCAAGGAGAGTCAGTTAAGGCTTCTTTTATAGATGCTACATTACCCTGATTATAGTAAGCTAATTATTCTACAACTCTAAATAACAGTGGATTAGCATTACCCTTGTATTTCCTTAGAAGAGGAAGAAATGCTAGTGTTGTTCTGATGCTCCCAAGGAGATTCACATCTGCAAATTTTTCATATTTCTCCATAGACAGCCACCCTGTCTCACCAAATGTTGATATTCCTGCATTATTCACAAGCCCCCAGAAACCTAAAAGAGAAACATAACTTAACAGGCATCGTTCACTGAAAAATGACCACCATCAGGCAACCAAACAACACTAGTGATCGGAACCCTTTGGAAACAACTTTTTAGTTGCACTATCTCTTTGTCTTTTCTACTTATAAAGCAGGCATATTTTGCTTAATGAAGAAATGTAATTGTGGCCATTATCTGGACTATGTAAGTCTCAGGGTTACCTAGTAATCACTCACTTTATAGTCATATTAAGTTATTTATGAATAACATGATATGGGAGACTACTTCTTACTGCCAATGTAGTGTACCATGATATTTTAATTATATTAATCCCACAGTGTGCTATGAACAGCTTTGTGAAAATTATATTAAGCAGGCTAAAGGGTAAGGATAATATTTTCAAAGTGCCTGACCAATTTAGGAGCTTAAGTCTTGGCTGCTTTTCTAAATTTAGAGTTTCAATTCCTCCTGGAATTGCCAGAATCAGGTAGCTGGGCACAAGATCCAGGTACCGTGCAGTAGGTACCCCTGGCCAAGTAAGGTCAGTGGCTACAGTAATTCTCTAGGTTTTGTACTCATAGCCAGGTCTATTCCTCATACAACAAAGTGACCTGGCACTAAGGATCCCAGCCCCCTGAAATTCAGTAAGATTTCAGTGTTTGTGAGTAGATCTTTATGGACAGGTATACTTAGTCTCGCACAACTTAGGCCCTTTAGCTCAAAGCCACAGGTACATACATTATGTGTACGATGCAATGAAAGTGGGATTTAAATAGACAAAAAGAAACAAAGTGCTTTCATTGAATGTCTCATTTGCATAGCAAAGCACTAAATCCCAGAAATTTACCCACATGGAATTTAAATAAATCTACCCTCCAAAGAGAATAAATCATTATTCAGTATTCTGTCACAGAGCATTCCTAGTTGCTGGACCTTTAACCAGATGCACACTGACTGCTGTCCTGGTAATTGCATTGTTTCCTGTGTACTTACCTTTTTTTTTTGTTTTTTTCCACAGCCTGAAATGCTAATAGACATAGAAGAGGAAGATTTAGAATTTTCCTGTATTTCCTTCTTCCCCTTACCATTGCCCTGTTGTTACAGGCCATACCATCAGTCTACAGCTTTATTTCCCCTTCTTAAAATGGGACTAACAATATAAGACCTCCTTGTAAAATGTTTCAGGATCAATGGATAAAAAATCATCTGTAAGAGTTAATTACCAATATTTTTGTACTTAAACGTGATCTGATCTACAGATGGACTGAGTAGCTGCGTATCCTATCTGCTTCTATTTAAGGCTGGAGGTCTTTGTACTCATCATTTATTTTTTATGTTTTCTTTATTTTCAAGAACCTAACCCTAATACGACACAAACCAAAGCCTGGCATCACTGCTAAAGCTGTTCCCTGCTATTCTGAGCCCTACATCTTCTAATAAATAAGAAGCCATTTTGCTTCTGCAATTGCATCCTGCACAGCATAGGAAGAACAGTTGTTCCAGATACCACTGACTTCATTAGGACATCTGAAATATGGCCATTAGGACTTCTCAAATACAACCATTAAACTTTTCAGGCAATTGATTATTTTCTTCCTCTTTCTCTAAACTATATAATGCAGAATTTAGCTTGCAAGCCATATGTTTTCTTTTCAGTGTCTTGCCAGCTTTCCCTGGTGCACTTCAAAGGCTCAAGGTGATGAGACTAAGATGTGTGTATAAACAGGCAGAGTTCACAGAATAATGGTTCCTTCTTTCTGTTGCATAGCCAAACTAAAAAGTCAAGAGGAAAAAATGGCTTGAGTTAAAATGAAACTTTCCTCTTTTGAGGAGAGTCTTCTGAGAAGATTAAGTAACACATAAACAGAGGTTTTGGTCAGGGTCAGCTCAAAACATTGTATTTGCCCATACTGTTTCTCAGCAGAACGTTTTGGCATTTCCAAACATGAAATGTTCTGACATTTTTCACAAGTTTTCCTACCACTTCTTTCAGCTGAAACAATTTGCAAAACTCTATCCAAATAATGAACAGTTCATTATTGCCAAATGCCACTTTTTCAAAAAGTGTACTACCTCCTGAGAAACAACCTGCCCAGCTATGCACTTTGGGTACTTGAATTAACTTTGGTCCTCCTTTCCTGAAATGTATTCAGTAAAAAAGTTAATGGTGTAAACCTGCACACAAAATATACTGTGTATTTGTTTATACAAATGCAGCTAAGGTAGCACAAACCTGAGAAATTTAGTCCTCAGTAGACAGAAATCCAATGGAAACTCTACAGCGTCAACAGGTGACTCGCCTCCTCTTACCTGTTCCCAGGGTGCCTAATTCTGTACTGGGATTCACAAGCACTACACATGTATACGTTATGCTTTTGCTGAATCCTGCAGAAGGGGAAGGGAGTCCAGGGGGCAGTTTTCAGTGTAGAATCAGGCATGGTTTCAAAACTAGGGTTCAGCTAAATGCAAGAGTATTTCCTGTTTTCATCTTGACAATAGGATCCCTGAGGGAAATCCAGGAAAGTCTACAATATAGAAATATAACGGCCATAAAAAGCTGAAGGAAGATCCATGTATCTAGTGAAGGACTTATGGTCTTGGTGCCATGACACTAGACAGAGCTAGAGCTGGATGTGAATATAGTGTCCTATCCAGAGTCAGTTAATTAACCAACCCCAAGAAGGACAAGGACCAAGTTAGAATTGAACTGCCATCCCATTTCCTCAAGAGTGTCCCTGTACAGACACATTAGGAAAAAGCAGCTGATGTTTGATTTGGAAGGAAAAAATAACTCGGGTTGTCAGAACTCACTCCAAGCAGTTTAGGAGGAGGGGTGTTAGACTACGTACAGAGGAGACACAGAATTTATAAACTGGAAAGCAAAACTGGACGTCAAAGAGATTTTCACTAATGTCTCTGCTGGGAAAACGGATTCTGAGGACAAAGATTAGGAGATACAGCAGGGGATCTAAAGAATCACTTTAGGAAACCTAACTTGAGATTAGTGAGGCTTTCAGGAGAAGAAAACTGCCTCTCACATACTGTCAGATAATTTCTCCTCCAGGACATGTTGGCCAAAAGACAGAGATATAAACTCAGATTCCAAAATCTATATTTAGGTCCTAAAGATGCCAGGACAAGGCGAGTTTGGCTTAGTTATCTAATCGCTATGGCACAGTGAGAAGGTGTCGGGAGTGCTGTGTTTTATCCATGAGATTTGTTTGTAAAATTTATATTGAATAGTCTGCTTAAAGCAGAGATGGTCCTGGGCACCCAGAAGTATCAGAGCACAGTATTCTTCCATCCTAGATGAGTTTCCTAGCCACCAGGCAACGGCTGAGTGAGGCTTCTTGGACTCATTCTCCCAATCACCAGGAACTTCTGTGCAGTGAGTTAAGTTGGTGGGAAAGGGAGAGGGAGAGCCTGGCTCCTGCATCCAGCTGAGTCTCCAAGTCGGTGGTAAGGTTTTCTCATTTGGGACTTCAGGCAAAAACTGCATGCGGCCTGTTCAATTTGGGTCTGGGTCAAAGCAACTAAAATCCACCAAAGAACACGATTCAGGAGGAATGTAATCTCTCTGAGCCTCTGTTCATTGAGCTTCTGGTTTGGAGAAGCTTCCATTACAGATTATACGCTCTTCTGGACAGATACTCTCTTACTTTGTCCATTTACCATGTCTAGAACAAGAGAGTAAGTGATGCTGACTGGGGCCAATAGGCTATATGGAAATAAAAGTAGAAACGAGAGCGTTATAGAGAAGGTTTGAGAGGAGGTAAATAGTGTATAGCGACAAAAAACTCTTGTGAGAAAATATGTATTTTCATCAGCTATAAAAAAGAGTTTAAAAAGGACAAAATTGGTTTCTCAGTCAGATAAGACAATTTTGAAGAAAGCATATCTGCCAATGTTTGACATTCAAAAATTAATACTTATGTCAGATGCACAGTCCATGGGAAAGATGATACTGTAATTATAAAGGAGAAATACTTAATCTTTACAAGGATTTACTTTGAGCTATTTAAACATGGAGTACAAAAGGTGAGTGTTGTTTAACTGCTTTCTCACTGTTTAGGTACATCTGCCAAGATTGTAGTTTGGAATGAACACGCTTACTATTAAACCCCGAGATTGCTGACGTTATTTCTTTTTAACTGTTTTGGGGAAGATAAGAGGTGTTTTAGTGATCTGAATTTAGAGGGTCAGCATGCTGACATATACTTGAAATCTTTGGTACCTGAGTAACACTGAAAATAGTAAAATGGGACAAAGAGAAGAGAGGAAACAATCCCTAAAGCAAATGCCTAGTAATTCCAAATGATACGGGGCCTCTTCCTCAATTTCTGTAGGACCTCACTAAATAAAACTGCCTTATATTGAGAGAGCGAGAGGGGTAGGGGTGGGGGGAACAGACAGAGACAGAGCTGTTCAACAGTACTTAAAAAGGAAGTACAGGATACTTCTATTAAGTATTTTAAAGGTGGATGTTTTCATAGCTTTTTAAGTAAGATAATCTATGATCTACTACTCGGATCTGTCAACATGGCCCGTTGAATTCCTACATCAGTTTGACTTGTTTATGCACAAACAAAAGCAAATTTTCTAGATTTCTAATGTTTATTTAAAACACTACTGGACTCATCAGCTGCTGTTTCTTCTCCCTATTACAAATGTCCAGCATATACGTGATTTTCAGTTTGGTTAGTCTCATGTTGTAGGTGCTGGATGTTGCACTTGTATGATCCACTAGCGCAAATGTCCTAAGGTTTCACTATGTAGAGTTCCTTAATGGGGGGATATCAAGTCACATTCTTCACTGCCCACCCTTTGAGAACCTTTGGGCAGCAGATAAGATGTTTTTTACAGTCACCCATCTTTATGACTTTCTAGGTACTGGCAGAACATAAATGCAATTACAGATGGTTCAGATTTTTCTTTCCTCATGAAAAAGTTTTATTAAAAACAATATTTTAAAAAAGTTACAGTTACTCTCGTTAACAAATAAAATGGTTAATTTGACAGTTAAACTTAAGCTGAATTTTTAAATTGAAACTATCTTTATGAAGTTAAAATACTAAAGAAAATAACACATCAATTTTCAGAGGTGCCAAGAGCATGTACCTCCTACAGAAGTCTTTTGCTTAGGGATGCTACATAAGTAGAGTATCCTCCCAGTTTTCTTACATTTGCGAAATATTTATGCCCCTATATTTTGTGAATTATGAAGAACACTTGCTGCATTCACTCCATTAAAATCAGGTATTAAAACAACTCATTTGCTCCTTTTTATTTAATCAACTTAGGAGGAAGATTACTTGATAATTGGAATTTTTGCCCAATGGCATATATTCTCTCTGGGTCTATAAAACTACTTCTTTTCTGTCTTTGCAGTGTTCCCTCCAAATGCTATAGTTGAGCTGAACAACAATATGAAAAGGTCTCATAAAATGAGTGCTAAACACATGTCCACTGTTGTGTTATGGGTGGGTGGGCCTGATTTAAAACCCAGGAAAATAATTAACTGGCTGTGCACACAGTAGGTACGGGGGTCTACATTTTAACACCAGCTGTGCTTGAGTGTCTTCCCTGGCCCCTGCCAGCAAACCCTTATGTTTTTCGCTTGATTTGCCTTGATCTAAAGGCCTGTCCACATGACTGCAGATGAGCTTGTGCTGAACTGTGGATTCACAGTCTAAATGACAGTGTGAGCATGACCGTTGCACAATCTACCAGAATCTACAGGATAAAATAGTTTATCTGTAAGCCCGAGTTCGAGGTGACTCAGTCCCTGTGCCCTGTCGAGCCTGTAAGGGGTTCTGTGAGTCACTGACGTTGTCTCTACAGCTTGGGAAAGAAACTAAGAGATGAAGGCACTCACTGCCTCTTAATCAGCTGAGGTCAGGATCAACCATAAATACATGCACTTAATGAGCGGTGCCTAGGCTTTCGCTTACTTCGTGTCTTCTTGTCTCACCCTCCCTCCCAATGTGTTAATGAACTGGGCAGGCAAAGGCCTTGTGCTTCCTTCTCGTTCTGCATGCTTTATTCTGTGCTTGTATTCTCTGTGTGACCAGGAACTATTTGTCCGTAATGCTGAAGGAATCTTACTTCTGGATAACGAGTAAATGTGCTCTGAGCCAAACATGTGGCTCAGTATTCCAATAGGTGACTCTTGCCCTGTGGGCTGAAGTAGAAGGCATGTAAACAGTGTATATTTGGCCCTATTTATCCACAGCATGTTGCATGTTCTCAAGTGATAACCCATGATTTAGGCTGTCTACAATTATTTTGCATGCTAAAAATCCATCCCAGGCTTACAGAAGAGGTTGAGGCTGGCAGGTGCTTTCATCCCCCTCTCACCAGTCCGTCTAGTGGCCTGTGGCACTCCATGAGCCACCGCCGGAGCCTGTCACCGTGCCGCAGTTGGCACAAAACCAAGGAGGCAGAGTGCTCCAGAGGAGACTGGCCTGAATCAAGCGCTGGGAAATACTATGGCTGGGGGCAGGGAGGGGGCTCGGGGAACTCGGTCCATCCCAGGTCCCAGGACGAGACTGCTGCAGGCACGCCGTAGCTTGAGGAAGTTTGCCTCGTTTTCCGGTGTCCCATCCGGTATGCCAATGAGGAGAGCAAAGGCTCCGCTCCGTTCCCCTGGGTATGTGCTCCACAGCGCAGGGTGTATAATCGACAGATTTCCTGGAATACAGCCCTTCCGTGGGCCAGCTTAAACGCCCCCAAGTTGCACAGAGAAGCAGCTGGTGGTGTGCTATGGCACGGGAGCCGCCCGCTCTGGCTTTCCTGCGCGCCTTCGCTTTGACAAGTCATGCCTACAAGCGCCCCCTCTTCCCCACCACCTCCTGTGCCTGCACGTTTCTGGCTCCTGTTTTCCCTGCTGTTTCCTCCCGTCATTCCCCTGCGGAAGGCTTCCACGGGAGTCCTTACAGCCACGGACCACCTCTCCCCATGCACACCTGACGCTCACCCGCGACTTACCGAAGCGCAGCCCCGCTGCTTTCCATGCCAATCATTTTTGGCTACCGCCTGCCCGCTTTCGCGCACCGCTCAGCCAAATACCCGTGCGTCTCTCTCTTCTGCTGTGAAGCACCATTGCTACTGACAGTAGGAACCGGCAGCGCGAATAACGGCGCCCCCTGAAAGCGGGCAAGAGCCGTGCCAGCTCACCGCCCCGGGGCGG